GCTTCCAAACAAAAGCATGCATTAGATATCAAAACTGAGTTGCACTTTGGGGAAAAGGAAAGGACACATCCAACAACATTATCCTTTCCATCCTGCCAATGGGCAGTAGGAATGCCTCCAACATGGAGAAAACATTTCCGGTTCCCCTGCTTCCGGCTCTGAAAGTTGACTCTGCCTCACTTTGGCACTGCAGGACCCTGGTAGCTGCAGGATGCTGCATTTACATACTGCAATGCTACTGGCTGAAGCCAGATGGCAAGGGATGCTGGGTAACTAACTGCTGGCCTCTTCCCAAGGAATCGGAAGTATCATGAGCCTGTAATTCAGGAGGCATCAGTTTGCATTCAGAGCAGCTTTTCCAGATGTGGCCCGTGGCAGGTTGAAGGGAAGGTGGCCCCTGACAGCTGTGGGATCTCTGCCTGGTTTTTCACCCCAAATATCCTATTTTTTTAAAAAATTCTGCTTTCTGCTTGCATTCCACAAAGATGAGTCTTGTTCATTCCTAGGCATAGCTGATCCTGCCAAAATGGGGGGGGGGGGGGGGAAGCCCTGCTAATTCATTTTCCCTGTGCTGCAGAAACCGAATCAGAACTCCAGCAGCTATTTGAGGCTTGATGCAGACCAAGAGAAGCTGAGTTGGCCAAACCAAAACCCTGAGGTTGAGACCAATGGGCCAGGTAGCCCCACAGGCCATAATATCCCTGAGAATGTCCACCCAGAGCCACTGCCTGTCTGCTTGGCAGAAAGCAGAGGACAGGTCCTGGCCTTCCCAGAACACTTGCAACCTCTCCTAGCACCTGGGCTATGGTGGGGAAGATTGTTAGCCTTGATCACCCACAGCCTGCCACCAGAAAGCTAGGCACAGCTCCCCTGCCCCAGAGCAGAGCCCACAGAAGTTCAAACCTACTCATCCTTCCTCGCTCATCCATTCCCTTGCAAACCACATAGGCTCTTACCTCCTCCTGGTGCTGCTGATAGGCCTTGGCTTCCAGGTGTGAGCCCCACCCCATGGCAGATTTCTTCCTGAGATCTGTGAGGTAATAAACTGTCCTTCACTAGCAGCCGCCTCTGATCTGTTGATCTTGCCATACCTCAATAATCACAGCTTCATAGTGAGAACAATTATTTATTACTCATTACAAAACTCTATTATTTATAATGATCTATAATGAATAGTAAAAGATATAATTGTAACAAATAATAATGCTGAAACAATGACTTCAGGCTTCGGCTCCACCTTCTTCTAGAACCGGCCTCCACCAGGTCGCCAAATCTCCTGGTTGCCAGATCTAATAGATGCACTCATTTCACATCACCAACCACGTCCTCCTTAGGACACACCCATGTCTGCCATGTCACTTTCCAGGTTCCATCCCCAGGGGCAATCCCCAGACCCTTCCCTTGCAGATGCTCCTATAGCTGCTTTTTAGGGTCCTGTCCTGTTTGCTTCCGGACCTACACATGCACGCCAGGTGATCATTACCACCAAATCAGCAACAGCCACAGGACACCTGCCCTCTCTTCCACACACATCCCACACTAAATGCACAATCCTCTCCCTAAAGCCCAGTCCCATCTTTCCCTCCTTCAGAGCAGCACACCAGAAACCTGAGCACCCTCGTGGCATGCAGCTCAGGTGCACACTCTGCAGCTCACCCCTCGCCTGGTCTGGTCTCTGGCAACTGCTCCTATCACCCTTCCAACCCCACCCGAGGCCCAGGCTCCCACTAATCCATCCTGAATGCTCCACCACCGTGCTCCCTGTTTTAGGAGAAACAGCCTTTCTGGCTGCACACTACTTTCTGGAATGTCTGAAATCTGAACCTTTTAAATCGCATCTGTTTTATGATCTGGCATTTCTTCCTTCCCTGGCCGCACCTCTGGTCCTGCCCTGTCCCCCTGCGCATTCTCCAGCTGCACTGGAGTTCCCAAGTATACTTCATACTATTACCCTTGCTTCTGAGATAGATAGATCTTGCTTATAGATGATAGAAAGACTGATATTGGATAGGCAGGTGGACAGGTAGATAACGGATAAATGGATCTGTAAATTTCATAAACTAGTCACATTTCTAAAAGAACTCTGAGGACCAACAGAAAGTAGCTGTTTTTCCTTTGCCAAGTAAAGACATCTCCCACACTCACACACACACAATCAACCACCACTAACTTCAGAAAAGTGAAAAGAAAGGTATAACCTGAGAATGGAAGTCTAGGAAGGCTAGAGGTGTGGTCTCAATTAACTGAAAATTAGGGCTCCGTATTATGTGTTGTCTTGACGTCTGATAAAATCAGAAAGGCCTCAAATGTCTTGACATCTGATCAAATCAAACCTCTCCTCCCTGATCCGCTGATAAGGTCCCCAAACAACCTTCTTGATCCTGAGGACTCAGTTCCTGCTAATCCCCCAAGGCGTGGGTTTCTGTTCTCTGGCATTGTGCAGAATTAGTCAAACTGCAAGTCATAACCTCCTACAGAAAACAGCATCCCACCTTCTGATGCTACGAGGCCTGCCTCCCACAGGTCCCGGCTGTTCACACTGCTTCCAGTGTGAGTCCTGTGTGTATAATAACTCACTGTATGCAGTGGCCCCCACCTGGGCCACATTTGTGACCAGTAAGCTGTCACTGATCCCATCTGTCTGTGGTTACTTTCTGTTCTGTCATCCCCATAATCTCCCTGGAGATCCAAAGGACGTGGCTACCTGCACCCCCAACCACCTGGTGAGAGGAGGGAACAGAGGCCTGAGGAGCCCCGGAGAGCCCGGTGCCTTGAGTCAGGAGACCTGAGCATCACAGCTGTGACAGGAGGAGTAGCTGTAACTCTGCCAGCTGTGTCACTGTCTGATGGGATCATGAATGGGAAGTGATGGCTGGTCCCCTCGGCTGTCCTAAATACACATGCATGTTCAGAGAAGTTGATATTCCGCATGTCTCTAGCTGGAGCAGCAGGCGATGGTGGGAGAAGGAACCTGGGGGCTAACTAGACAGCCTGTCTGTTGGGAAATCTTGCTTCGACTGCATCCTTCCTGCTTTGGGTGCTCACTCCTGTCCATCAGTAAATGGGAGTTGATAAATCTCCTGTGTTCCACTTTGTGTCCCTTTCCAGATCCCCGACTGTCTCATCTGGGCCCTGAATTCCAACCACTGCACACCTTGCTCTAGCAGACACACCACCGCACATTCTGTTGGGCCACGTTCCCCCTCCCCTTCCTGAAGGCAAAGTGCCTGGGGACCCCGAAAGTAGGCCAGGTCCTCCTAACCTTACCAAAGTAGCACAGCTAGGCCCTCCACTCAGAGACAGGGCTTCAGGGAGGGAAACGAAGCATCCAGGGCCTCAGCTAGCCAGAGCCCCAACATCTGCGGCAGGTAAGGGACTTCTGGGTATCTCCAAAAGAGAGAAAGAAAGGAAGGGGGGGAAATGGAAGGGAAGAAAAGAAAGAGAATAAAAGAGAGGAAGCTGGAAGGACATGGCTCAAATAGTAGAGCGCCAGCCATGAGTAAACCAGCTGAGCAAGTTAGAGGCCCTAAATTCAAACCTAAATGCTAGTAGAAAAAAACCTATGCCAATGAAAAGCCAGGTAGGCTGGCCTATGGTGGGGGGTGGGCTTCAGAGCCGTTAGCGCTGCTCAGCCCCCAGGACCTGACAGCTCCCAGGCTCCATGACCAGAAGTGTGGGTGACCAGGGAGGCAGCTGCATGTTCTTAAGATGCATGAGGAGCTTCTGTGATTTACTAGAACTATGGGAAGGGCCCCTTTGGGTTGGACCCTGCGCAAGACCCATTCCAGTTAGAATGTCCTATCACTTTAAGTGCTGGGAGACCCCCTCCCCCCCCCCCCCCAGCCCTGCAAGGAAACAGACAAGTGAACCTCCACTGGCTAGCCCAGAATGGGTTCCAGTGGAGCCATTACAGTACCAGAAACTGCAGCCACTGTGCCAGGACCGACTTTGATGAAGAAATAGGAGACTGGACAGGCAATGGCTGGGAGGCAGGGGCAGCCCACAGGAGAAGCCCCCATCAGAACTCCACGAGGCAGGAAGATCAAATCCAATACACTTTTTGTTTAAACAAAAATCACTGCTCCTGCCGGTGAGAAGGATAAGCCATCTAGAACTAGCTGGTTAAAAAGAAAAACAAAAGACCCCTGGTGACATTAAGTGGAGACCAGAAGCAGCTGGCAGATGATCAGCCCCAGGCCTTCCCCACGGCTCCCCTCTGCACTGGGCTCCGAGGAGGAGGTCGAGGCTCAGTCCTGGGGGCCTCTGGCTCTTTCCGGGTGAAGTTGGAAGGGCTGGGGTGGGGGAGAGCCAGAGCCAGTGGTCCCAGGGTGACACAGCCCTGCGCTTGGCCCGACCAATGCAATTGGTTGAAATCTGCAGGGCTCCTTCCTTGGTCTGGCGACCGGTCAGTCCTCTGGAAAAGTGAGAAGCTTCTAGCTGCTGGGAAGTGGGAAGGTACCGGCCTAGGAGCGGAGGAAAGCGCCTGCGTGTTCCTCTGAAGGGGTGGAGTGGGGTTGGGGGCCAGGGAAGGCCCCGGTGGGGGTGCAAGCCTGCCTTGCTTTCCGGAAAGGCTGCTCCAACGTGGAAAGCACCCAGTGGCTTCCTTTGGAGAAAGTCGGGGATTCTCTGATGTCAACACCCCTCATGGAGGGGTGGATCGGGAAGAGAGCCTTGGCTCCCCGCCGGCATTCCTTGTTTGTGGGTTCCCACCCTGAAGACGGTGGGAAGAAGGGGGTGCAGCTTTAGGACGACAGCAACCACACGGGGCTGAAGAGGCAGCTGATGGGGGGGGCCCACCCCGAGGGCTGCCCCAACCCTCCCCTCCCTCCCGCGCCCACCCGCCACCGAGCTGAGGGCCCGGTTGCTTGGCAGCCCGCCGCTTTCCCACACCCAGATGCAACCTCAGCGTCCTCCCCTTACCCTCCTTCCTCCTCCTCCTCCCTGCCTCCCCCTCCTCCTCCCCGCTCCTCCGTGTCTTCCCCGCGCCCCCCCCCTCCCCTCTACATCCTTTCTCCTCCGCCTCTGATTGGCTGAGGCCCGGGCCCTCCTCGCTCCCCCCCCTCGCCCCCACCCCGGGTGAAAACTGCGGGCTCCGTGCGGGGCGCAGCTACTGGAGGCGGCGGGTGGAGCGGAGGCTGCAGCGGCGGAGGACCGGGCCCGAGCCCAGGTGAGAGGTGGGGCCGGAGGGGACCCGGCCCTGGGCGGCCCGAGTCGGAGGCGCACGGCGCGGGGCGCGGCGGGAGCTGCCTCACCTGGGCCGGGTGCTCCGCGGGGCCCGTCCGCGCCCGAGGACGCGGGGCCGAGGCTCGGGCTGCGGAGGACAACCGGAGGAAGGACACCAGGACAGCCCGTGACGGCGCCCCACCTGGCCGAGCCCCACTGCGGCTCGCCGGGACGGGGAGGGGGCGGAGGGCCGGTGGGGGTGGGAGTGGGCGCGGGCGGGCTGGAGGGAGCCCCCTCCCCTGACCCCGCGGGGAGCGGCGTGCGAGCGCCCGCACCCGGGCACCCGAGCCCGGCAGCCGCAGTGTGGCGGGAGGGGGCCGGACGGGGGAGGGGACGCCGGGGGGGGGGAGGGAGCCTCCCTTGGGAACTGGGTCGGGTGGGGCCGGGGGGAGGGGCGCCGGTGCGGGGCGCGCTGGCCGGGGCGGCGCTGGGGCCGCGGCCTGCCGGAAAACGGGGCGCCAGACCCGACCAGCGTCGGCCCCGGGGCCCGCGCCCGCCACTCCCTTCGGCCCCGCGGCGCCCAGCCCCAGCCCCGCTCCCGCCGCCCGTCCTCGTGCCAACCCCGGGGCCCGGCCACGGCGGCCGGGCATCCGCCCCCGAGGACGCCGGCGGCGGCCGTGGCGCGGCCGCGGGGACCCGGGCCTCACCCGCCCCGAGGCGGGGCGCCCCGGAGCGTCGGACTCCCCCGGCGCGGCGCGCGCGGCCTGCGCACCGGGGCGCACGCGCTCTGGCCGGCGCCGCTCCCGCCGCCCGCAGGCTGGGGACGGCTGGGCCACCGGCGCCGGGTCGCCCAGACGGGCGTCCAGCCCAGGCCGGGAGGCGGGGGGCGCTGGAGAGCGGAAGAGGACGGAAACCTGCAACCCCAGAAGCCCCGAGACCCGGGCGTGCCGAAGCACGGTTCGCTCGGTGCAGAAGGCTGTGGCTTTTCCTTGCACACGTGTCCCGCGCAGGCCCGCGGGGGGGGGGGGGGGAGGGGGCTGACACACCCCTGACGTCATCGCCGGCCGATGACGTTAACTTTGGGGGGCCGTGGCCCCGCCAGATGTTTATCACGTGTCGTTTTTTAATGGTGGGGGACTGGTGTCAGGCCTTGAACTCAGAGCCTCCAGCTCTCTCCCCCTCCCCGCTTGCTTACAGCCGGCACTCTTCCACTTGACCCAGATCTCCAGCCCCATTCTCCTCATTTTGTATTAGCATCGATTAGTTACACTTTCATTTTTCTTAATCCTCACCGCCACCCCGTAGGAATCTACGGTTCAAAAAGCTTCGTTCACTCAATAGCTCTTTTTCCCAGCACTCATTCTGGAGACAGAGGCAGAAATCTTGAGTTCCAGGTCAGATGGGGATATACAGGAGACACTGTCTCAAAAAAAAAAACAAAAAAAAAAAAACAATAAGCAACCAAAGGTCCACACATTCAGGAGATGGAGATGGAGAGGATCTCGGTTCCAGGCCAGCCCTGGGAAAAAGGCTGCTGGACTCCATCTCACTATGCTGGGCCTGCTCAGGCCCCAGTCATCTGAGCTACAGGGAATAGAGGAAGAGGAAGATCCTGGCCCGGTTTGCATAAATGTCTCGGGTGTGGCTCCAGTGGGAGAGCAACTGCCTAACAAGTGTAAGGATATGAGTTCAATTCCCAGTGCCGCGCAAATACAAAACAAATTATAAATATCTTTTAGAAATCTATTAGATGCCAGAAACTATTCTAGACACTGAAACAAAATAAGAAGTTCCTGAGTGAGTTAGGTTTTTTCTTAATGAGTACAAAATTTGTGTTTTGAGAGATAAGCTGGGCACCGTGGATCCTATGTAAAACCTCAGCATTTAAGGATAAAGAGTTGGGGGCAGCCTAGGCTACATAGTGAGTTCTAGGCCAGCCAGAGCTGGTAAGACAGACTATCTCAAAAGAGAGAGAGAGTTCTGAAGATTAATTGCACAGAAATGGGAATGCAGCAACACTACTGTGCACTTATAAAGTGGTTAGGACAATAAAAGTGTAATTTTTAACGTTTATTTTTATTTTTGTGGTACTAAGGAATCAAACCCAGGGTCTCTTGTATGCTAGGCAAGCACTTTACTGCTAAGCCACACTCCCAGCCAATTTTACCAAATTTAATTTTACCAAATTAAAAATTATGAAGCAAACCAGGCACTGGTGACTCATGCCTGTAAATGTGTTTTATCAAATTAAAATTTTTAAAGCAAAGCCAACCCAGGAAGAAAAGTCCATGAGACTCTCATCTCCAATTAATCAGCAAAAAGACAGAAGCAGAGCTGTTGCTCAAGTGATCAAAAGAGCCAAGAGAAGGAACACAAGGCCCTGAGTTCAAGCCCCAGAACCAGCACATAAAAACTTTCAAAGACAGTCCCTGCTCTGACAAAGAATAGTAGATGTAATCCCTTAAAGTCACTCAGCTAGGAAGGGCACACACATAGGAAGGGCACACACACACACACACACACACACACACACCATTCCATGGTACGCTCCCTCTTCCCTCGCTTTCCCTGCTGGCAGAGCAAATAATACCAGTGTCATCTTCAAAAACAAGTGATGCCAATGGCTCACGCCTATAATCCTGGCTACTCAGGAGGCTGAGATCTGAGGATCACGGTTCAAAGCCAGGCAGAAAAGTCCCCATGAGACTCTTATCTCCAGTTAACTACTCAAAACTGGAAGCGGCTCTGTAGCTCAACGTAATAGAGTGCTGTGGCTCAAGGTAATAGAGTGCTAGCCTAGAGCAAAAGAGCTCAGGGACAGCACCCAGATCCTGAGTTCAAGTCCAATGACCAACAACAACAACAAAAGCAATGGAGGGAAGGACTTTGGTGCCCACCATGTGCTCCTGGGCCCTAAGTCCATGTGGCCCATGGCTGATTCCTAACTGTTCCCATCCCAGATCCGGAAGGAAGCTCCTGCACCATGAATCCAGCCATCTGCATCGCTCTCCTACTGGCAGGTACTGGGCAAGGGGCGGGGCAGAGCAGCCTCTTCCTCACAGCCTCAGAAGTGTGGGGACCAAGACAGTGGGCTGTTTCTCATCCCAAGTCAGCTCTGGCCTAGCTGGCCGGCCTGCCTGGGGAGGACTTGAGGCACAATTTACTGAGCCCCGCACAATTTCCTGTGCAAAGGAACTTGAAATGTCCATATGGGAGCTGAGAACCCCTCCCCCCCCCTTTCCTCTCCCGTCCCAGGGCCCCAGCAGACTAAGGAAGGAGGCTGGGGTCTGCAGGGAGCCGTTGAGCCCTCCCTCCGGACCCTGGGGTGGGAAGAGATACTCATGCAGTGGTCACACCCCATGCGAGGCTGTGTCCACTCTTCTGGGGGGGGTGGGGGAAGCCCTGTTCCAAAGGCTCTCCCCCAATGCGGAAGAGGCACCGCTGGTGCCAGTGTTACAGGCATCTCAAGGGCAGAAGGTGACCAGCCTGACGGCCTGCCTGGTGGACCAGAGCCTTCGCCTGGACTGCCGCCATGATAACACCACCAGCTTGCCCATCCAGTACGAGTTCAGCCTGACCCGTGAGAAGAAGAAGCACGTGCTGTATGGCACAGTGGGCGTGCCTGAGCACACGTACCGCTCCCGGACCAACTTCACCACCAGGCACAACATCAAGGTCCTCTACCTTGCCAACTTCACCACCAAGGATGAGGGCACCTACACGTGCGAGCTCCGCCTTTCCGGCCAGCCGCCCACCATCTCCAATCAGAACGTCTCTGTGCTCAGGGGTGAGATCTGTCCCCAGCAAGGTCACCCGGTCCAGGAGAGACAGGGGCAGGGTGGTGGGGAGCAGTCTGGGTGCACAGCCAGCGGCTCCCTTAGCTGGGCCAGAGGAGAGAGGCCCATATTTCTCTCTGTTCCCTGGACAGCTGTCTGGTCCCCTGGGGTGCCACTGCCCAGCGTGTGTGCGTGGAGGAAGGGCCTGTCAGGCCGAGCTATCACACCCTGATTAGAAGCCTGTCTCTGTCCTTTTCTCCAGCCGAAAAACAGGGATGTGAGCTCCACGCTTGCTTAGCTTTCTGAGGATGACATTTAGTACGGTTTTTGTAAGCCGCATGGGCCAAGGCTCAGGAACATGTAACATGAGAATGAGAGTTGGAGGTTGGTCCCAGCCTGAGTTTCCATCCCTTCCCTCCCTTCCCCTTATTCTCTCTCCACAGACAAGCTGGTCAAGTGTGAGGGCATAAACCTGCTGGCTCAGAACACCTCATGGCTGCTGCTGCTCCTGCTCTCGCTTTCCCTCCTCCAAGCCACGGATTTCATTTCCCTTTGACTGGTTGGGCCGACGGAGGATACAGAAAGCCTCCAGGCCCTGTGCAGAGACCCTGCTTCTCTGAGTTGGCTGACCCCCTCCCCTCAGTCCCTCACACAACTTGGGGAGAAGCGGGGACCCCACCCCTTATGAGAAATCTCAGTGCTGCATGCCACCGTCTTCCCTGCCACGCCGCCACTTCCCTCTCCACACACCACTGGCTGTGTTTTTGTACTCTTTCTTCCAGAGCTGCTTCTGTCTGGTTTATTTAGTTTCTCCTTCCTTTCCGTTGGGAGTTGATGACCAGGGAAGCCAGGGTTGGGGACCTAATGGCAGTGAGGTCACATGGCACACAGGAGATGGCAGTGAGGTCACGTGACGTACAGGAGAGGGCAGTGGGGGGAGGGAAGGGGTTATCCTGGCCCACCAGGCCGAGGGAGAGTCCCCAGGGATGAGGGAGGGACCGGGGTGTGCATGGGCCTAGCACATGCCCAAGATAGGAAGCATGCCTTGAGACCCCGAGGTGAAGGGATCACCAAGCGCTTGTGGCCTGTCACCAGAGGGTAAGGACAGAGTCCCCAAGAGACACAGACCAAAAAATAAAACCAAAAAAACCCTTCTTGCCATTGCACAAGTCCGTGGGGAGCTTGGGCCCAGAGGCGGTGAGGCTGCAGCTAATGGAGGCTGGGGGAGGGGAAGGCCCTCCTGCTCACCCATGCTAAACACCAGCCCGCCCCTCGCTGAGGATGGGGCAGGGGACCAGCCCCAGCCCCGGCAGTCCCAAGCTTCAGAACTCTGTAAGTGGGGGAGTCCCATAGGTATACAGCTGCACCCCGGTTTCTAAGGGAGGCTCTTCCTTCCCCTGCCCTGCAATGCCTGCACTCTTGCTGGGCCTGAGTCCTAGACAGCTCTGCCCCGCAGCCTGCCTCTGGGGTCTCTGAGGGACCCCAGGTAGGCCATGGAGACCCCAGGGCCATGCACCCCTCTGGAGATTGCTTTTCCAAGCCCTTCCTTTCCTCTCCCCCCCCCCTCCCCACCGGCGGCTCTGCCAGTCCTTTGCCCACGTGTGCTGCCCCCACAGCTTCTAGCATCTCATTGAGGAAAAAGAAAACCACACAATAAAGCCAGGCCTCTGGAGTCTGTCTGTCCGCGTGTGCCTCTCTGTTCTGCTCCTCTGAAATCCCCAGGCTGCCTGGCTGCGTGTCTATGGCAGAGGGTGCCAAGAGTGTGGGAGGGGGGGGACAGGGGCAGGCAGCCCTTCCTCTCCCGGAGCCTTCACCCCTCCCGTGGCACGCTGGGCTCTGCAGATGGCTCACATGACTTGTGCCCAGATGCGTGAGTGTGACCACTGCTGACTCACTCCCGGCCATCCAGGCCCCGCTCATCACACGTGCCGAGGCCCGCCTTGGCCTCTCGGCCCTGGTGGTTCTAACACACCCACTTACGACTGGGAAGACATCTCCTTCCGGTAGCATTGGCCACAGGACCAAGGCAACAGGACAAGAATCCATGCATCCTTCCATCCCAAAGCGGTGGCCCAAGAAAGGGCTGTGACACATACTGTCCCCTCGGAAGTGGTGGGGGAACACTGGCCCCATCCCCGGCTCTCCTTGCTGCTCAGCAAGGCGTGGAGGGTCACTGTGAGGTTGGCTAGATGAGGATCCCAGGGTGGGAATGGGTTCTAGTTGTGTGAGCTGGTAAACAGCCTAAGCTAGCGGCCTGCAGCCTGGGAAGGTGGGGGAAGAGG